CGTTACACCAAGTTCCTGGAGGAGATCACCCAGCTTGTCATGCTAGAGCATTTTTTCAATGGGCTCCCCCACAACACGGCTGGTGAGAGACCGCCAGCCCCAGACCCAGAAGTATTGGTATGAGCTGCTGAAGCTAGCTCACGCATTTGGGCAGGAGCCGAACAGCTCACCCACAGCTTCTTCTGGTCAGGCATCTCTCAGGATCTGAGGCAGTACTGCCAGATGTCTGCCAGAGAGTGGGGAAGAGAAGGGACCGGCGCAGGGCCCCCCTCCATCACCTACCTATTAGTGAAGATCCGTTCGACAGAGTAGCTGTCGACATTATAGTTGCGCAGGCACTTTGGTGACTCTAGAGAACCTCGGGCCAATTGCACGTCCCTGTGACGGCGACTTTGCATTTGCATTTGCATGTCTGCCCTATTAAGTTTCAATGACACTTTCTGCTCCTACCATGGTGGCCACGGGTAACAGGGAATCAGGGTTCAATTCCAGAGAAGAAGCCTGAGAAACGGCTACCAAATCCAAGGAAGGCAGCAGGCGCGCAAATTACCCACTCCCGACGCGGGGAGGTAGTGACGACAAATAACAATACAGGACTCTTTAGAGTCCCTGTAATTGTAATGAGTCCACTTGAAATCCTTTAATTATGATCAATTGGAGGGTAAGTCTGGTGCAGAGCGACTGACCCATGCGTGCTGCAGCTGAAACTCCACTATCGTCTGCTGCTGCTCGTATAGTCTCTCCAGCATGTGCAAGGTGGAGTTCCACCTTGTGGGCACATCGCATATGAGGTGGTGAACAGGAAGGCCAAACTTACCCTGCAACGCAGACAGGCGAGCAGCAGCAGGGTGAGAACCCTGAAAGCGCGCACAGCCGCTACAGTGAATGTCACATCCTGTTCCAAGTTGCGGATCAGTCTGGTGATGGCTTCTGGTATCCAGTACTTTTTTTTACTGAAGCTGCATCAGGGTCCTGGTATGTGGCCGCACAAACGCTGGTGCTCAACACCAGGGGGCGTGCGGTTACCCTGCCCTAGACCCTGCTAATCCCACACTGTGACTCCTAACTTCTACATCAGGCATACTAGGTCCCGTCGTCCGACCGCCGCCCAGACAGTGTCTGGGTCCCAGTCACCGGACTGCAAAACTGCGAATGGCTCATTAAATCTGTTATGGTTCTTTTTATCGCTTCAACTGTTACTTGGATAACTGTGGGAATTCTACAGATAATACATGCCGACGAGCCCTAGGGGACGGCTGCTCCGCTTTTGCACCCTGCTCCCTCTTATGCTGTGCTGGTGCCTCTGTGCGACCAGCACCTCTTGCTCCAAACTGCACACGTTACTCGCATGACCTTGATTCCATGTGGGGTCTAGGACCTCATCATCCTCCACATTATCTTCCACCCACTCCTCAACCCTGCCCTCCTTGCACACTGCAGAAAGCCACAGCAGTTGGCACCTGTGTTTATCCAGCATGTAAACTCTGCAAAGCACATATGGAAATTGTTTTAGAATTGTATCCAGGCAACAGTTTTCCCTATAAATTGACCTCTCAGTTTGACTTGTGAGGGTATTGCCCCAGAATTACAATATTGTTGAAGTACCTCCTAGCTATTGATAACTGGTTTAAATATAGCAGCTTGTTATCTGGTAGTTTCTAGTGTAGAAAATATCAATCTGTTTTCTATCACTTAGATCTGTGTAAGAAGTGTTGTAGGTGTGAAACAATATTACAAGTGACCGATGTAGTTAATTCGAATCAAAGTTACGCTTCAATTTGACTATCAGATATGAAGAGCAGCCACCAAAATGTACTATTTAGCAGATTAGCACCCCGAAAATTTGAATTCTTACAACTGCGCTGTAAGCGCACTATTAGACGCTTCGATTTGACTCTCAGATATGAAGAGCAGACCCCAAAATGTACTATTTAGCAGATTAGCAGCAAAACAATTAGAATGTTTACAACTGCGCTGTAAGCGCACTATTAGACGCTTCGATTTGACTCTCAGATATGAAGAGCAGGCCCCAAAATTTACTATTTAGCAGTTTAGCACCCAGAAAATAAGAATGTTTACAAGTGCGCTGTAAGCGCACTATTAGACGCTTCGATTTGACTCTCAGATAGGAAGAGCAGGCCCCAAAATGTAGTATTTAGCAGTTTAGCACACAGAAAATAAGAATGTTTACAAGTGTGCTGTAAGCGTACTATTAGACGCTTCGATTTGACTCTCAGATATGAAGAGCACGCCCCAAAATGTACTATTTGGCAGATTAGCACCAAAACAATTAGAATGTTTACAACTGCGCTGTAAGCACATTATTTGACGCTTCTATTTGACTCTCAGATATGAAGTGCACCCCACTAACATACTATTTAGCAGTTTAGCACCCAAAATTTTTTTAAGTTTTAAAACTGTAATGTGACAGCAGTATTTGACGCTTCTATTTGGCTCTCAGATATGAAGTGCACCCCACTAATGTACTTTTTAGCACCCAAAAAATTTTAAGTTTTAAAACTGCAAAGTGACAGCCAGGGCCGGACTGGGAGAAAAATTCATCCCGGGCATTTTTTTAACACAGCGGCCCACTAAGAAGGGAGCGGGGCAGAGGAGGTGTGTTTTGTCATCACCAATGACAAACACGCCCCCTCTCAAAGTGAGCATGTTGGTTCAATGCTCTTCCAGGGCAGACCATGCGCAGAGCTCTGCTGAAGAGCTCTAGATTGAGAAAAAAAAAGCACTGTATTTGTTCTGCACAGTGCAAGCAAATTTAATAACATGCTTGCACTGTGCTTCCTTGCAAATTGTCTCTGGTGTTTCTATGATACCAGGAGACAAAAATGCCAGGAAAGAGTATTGTGCATGTGTTTGGAGCCTGCTTCAAATACACGTGGTATTGCGTGTGTGTAGAGTGAGCTGATTGTGATGTGGTATTGTGTAATAAGGTTGGTTTTAGTCATCTTGTGTTTGTGGTGTAATGTGATGCATATGTGGCTAGGGGCTGTAGAGAATGTGTGTATAGGGGATATAGCAAGTGTGTGCATACAGGCTATAGTGTGTGTTTGTGTGTGTGTGTGTGTGTGTAGTGTATGTTTAGAGGTGTAGTATGTGTTTGCTTACAAGGAATCTAGTGTGTGTATAGGAGATCCAGAGTTAAGAGTGTAGTGTGTGTGTATATATATATATATATATATCCTCGTGGTGGTCCTCGTGGTGAGTGAGATCCGTTCGTTGCCATGGCAACGCGCCGGATCTCCCGAGAGGAACCCAGCGTAGCTGCAAGTTAGAGCTCTGCCGGGTCCTCTCTCCTGGCTGGCTGTCTCCCTCCCTCTCTCCCCGCCGGCGGCCGCATTTGACAGCATGTGGGCCGGTGAGGGAGATCTTTGATCTCCCCACCGGCCCTTCATGGAACACAGCAGGGCCGGCGCTCGGATAGCGCCGGCCCTGCATAGACCGGCAGGGGAGATCCTGGGACCTCCCCTGCCGGCCTCGGCCCATGGCCACCACGCCCCACCATGCCCTATGGCCAGTCCGGGCCTGGTGACAGCAGTATTGGACGTTTCTATTTGACTCTCAGATATGAAGTGCACCCCACTAATGAACTAGTTTGCAGAATTCTTTCCTAAGCTGTCCCTCACAGCGGCAGCATCCTCTCCCTACACTAATAAGACCCCCTGTGCGTGCGGCTCCAGTTTATATAGAGAGGCTGGGTCACATGCTGCACTGGCCAATCACAGCCATGCCATTAATAGGCATGGCTGTGATGGCTTCTAAGGGCACAAGAGTCAAACGCTTGTTGTTTGGCTGCCCTGCATTCTTTGAAAACGCGCCATTAAATTAAACACCGAACTCCAACCCGAACATACAGTGATATATCCGTGTTCGGGTCCGTGGTCCAAAAAAACGTAATGTCCGGGGTTGCTCAATTCTATACACCCTTTTACATTTCTTATCGTGTGGCTCATGTCGTTTAACCAAACTGCTATCTTTCTTCACCATATCTTTAAAGGATTTGAAAATCTGTGATAAGTTGTCTTGGAACCAACTTAAAAAAGATTGCATCTCTTGTTGCTTTGACTTTTCCAGGAATTCAACAGAACACTGGTTGCAAATTTTCTTCTTACATCAACCTGGAAGAGGAATTGCACATTCACTACAGCACAAATGTTTGGCCTTTTTGTGCGCTGGGGATGGCATTTTCTCTTTATCCGTCTTGTCCGGAGATGTAGGGCTGGACATATTCTCAAAAACCTCATTACCGTGTGGGAGGGCTAGTAACACTGTGTACCACTGCTTACAACCACTCTTAGTGAAAGCATGGTCATGCACAGAATAAATAGGCTTCAATAATGCGGTCAGAACTTCAGTGGAACGCAAGGTCACCCATGCGTGCATTCCACTGATGGGTGCAGGCGCACAGCCTGCTTCACGATTTATCAATTTAAATCCTGGAATGTAGGGGTTTGGTAGGTTCTTTTGGCCACCATGGAGAGTTCGGAAGAATATGAAAAACTGTTATCGAGTTACCTCATCAGTTGCTGTGTTGTGACAGCCTGGTATGGGTATGTGAACAAAGTAGAGTTTTTGTGATGCTGCCAGCCAGATCTCTTGCTAACATGTTAGTGAGGGGGACTGACCAATAATAATTCCAATGTTGCTGAATTACTAAAAGAGGTTCCGTGTCACTATGGGAAATGTGCCACAGACCCAGTTAACTATGAAATTGGCTGCACTCCAGTTTGAGTGGCTGTATTAGTCCAGCAATGAGGGACAATGGTGGAGTGAACATGGATTCCTTGTTCTGGTGGGATATAAAGTTTAGCTACATGAACAGGAATGCTCAAGCATGTTTCAAATGTAACAGTGCTAGTGTTGACAGATGAACCTGGGAGCAGATTGAGTGGATGGGAAATGAATGAGCTCCCTTGTGTAAGTGTATGGTAAAGTTCAGCAGACCAAGGAGAGACTTAAGATACATATGAGAAACAGGCATCGTTGTCCAGAAAGGATTTTCCCTTTCCCTGATACGCTGGACTTAGTCTGCGGGGAGACTGAACTTCAATGAAATAAAGTCTGATGTATTTCCAAAAATTAAAATTGGTGTAGGGGCCAAAGGTTGATCGAGACAGCGGAGTTCCAAAGGATGTACCAGATACAAAAGACACATCTGCTTCAGGGTATGGAATTCGGTTCCATAACCATTGTACTCATGTAGATAATGTATTACTGACGGACAGTACTGACATACAAGAGGAGCCTACAGAGACATAAACAAACATACCCATAAACATAAACAAACGTACCCATATAGGAGTAGGATTCAAATGAAGCCAACCAATAACCGTCATCCAGAAGAAGAAACTGAACGTGGATTATCCAGAATGCAACTATATTGAAACGTTTTGGCATCTCTCCCCTCTAAACGTAAGATGGGTGGCAAAGGAGAATGCTCAGTTTGCTAAATAATGTGCAAATGCCACTGGGACCGATGCACTGGGAGCAACTTGAAGATGAGGATTATGGCATTTTTCTAGTCTGGCTGCTTCTGTGGTCCTTAAGATACCATGGCCTAATGCTGGGAACTTTAAAGAACGAGGAGCCGATAATAAGATTGAGCAGATATTATTGGGATTCCCACTGATTAGGGTAGTATGGTCGAGCATCCGCAAATAAAGGGGCTGTCAAAAGGGCCCCAACAAGAAAC